ATCCATGGTTTCAGTCATTAGTTGGGGATCTTGGGAGATACTCACCACAGATAAGGGGTGGCTGAAGTGTGTTGTCTGTCTTCCCTGCTAGTATTACTGAGAGAAAGGAATAATAATAATACATCCTCTGCCATTTTATCCTCATGTTCATAACATGCTATTTCAGTGCTCCACTGCCATGGAAAGATCAAGAAAGCTTCTCCTCTGTATGAATCCCTGTTAAGTCTTCTTCTTCCCTCAAGGCACCATAGATTAGTGACCCGCCAGGCAAAACTGGCATTCAAACACGCTCAGTCTGCACAGTTTCAGATCCTTAAGAGGAGTGTGGAAGTTTTCATGGACCCACACACAGCACTCAACACTGCTGTCCCCCACCATTGTCCCAGCAGTGGAGAAAAACAGAGAGATGTGGTTCTGGGATCATCCATGCTGAGCTCTGGGTTCTGCTTCTGGCTTGGGAAGCAGCCATCCAAACTCTGCCAGTTAGTCGGGTACCAAGGGAGCCACAGTATGTACATTCTTGCTGTTATTACAGTCAGGTGACACTTTGCCTTAGCATCCCCCATTTGCAGCCACAGAGCACAGGAGTCAGTAGTTCATGCTTATTTTAAAACAACTTCCTTGAGTTGGCCATCACTATTTGTGAATTTTGAACAGCACACTCACAAAGCCAGAAGTCAACAGGGTCATTTCAGAAAAAGAATCCTTGTCAGTTGACTTCTACTCAGAAGGTCAAGTCTCTGAAAATACAGCAGTGAAAGCTTTACTTCAGAATAACTTCCTGTATCACCAGGACTCCTAACAAACAGGGTTTCTAATTTAATCAGTGTAACAGTCTCCAGCCAGAAAGAGAGTGACCCCTTTACAGCGGATCTTCTGATGTCACTGAGGATAGCGCCCAATCAACATCGGGCAAATGAGTGAGTGAATCAATGAATGGCCTGATTCTCTTCCACTCAGTGTTCTTCCTGGTCACTCCCCTTGACAGCAGAGGCCACATATCTAGGGTCACAGACTGATATTACTTCCGGAAGACAACAAACCTAAAAAAGGAACTTGGCTGTTCGGTCACAAAACTACTAGAGAAGTTTTAGATGACTTCATAATGATCTTTCTTTTCTTTCTTTCTTTCTTTCTTTCTTTCTTTCTTTCTTTCTTTCTTTCTTTCTTTCTTCTCTTTCTTTCTTCTCTTTCTTTCTTTCTTTCTTTCTTTCTTGTAATGGGAATTGAATCCAAGGCCTTCACACTAGGCTTAATCTTCAGGTCCCCCTCTCCTTTTGATTTTGAGGCAGGGTCTTGCTAAGTCTGTGAAATTGCCCAATTTGGGCTCAAAATTGAGATCCTCCTGACTCAGTCTCCCAGAGTGCTGGGACAGTCTCCCAGAGTGCTGGAATCATAGGTGTGTTGTCAGCACACCCAGCTCCCAAAGATGACTTTTGTTTGGGCTTTTTTTGTTTTTTTTTTTTTTTGAGACAGAGTCTCACTGTGTCATCCAGGTTGGCCTGGAACTCACAAAGATCCTCCTGCCTCAGCCTCTGAGATTTGAGGCATCCATCACCATGCCTCCCCCACAAAGGTAACTGTTACTGACATTTTAAAATCTCTTTTTCTAGGGTAACATAATACAGTCAGAATTCAAACCCCGTACTGAAAGACTACAAGATCGATGGTCAATGCACTTTATCAGTTTGTTTCTTATATCTTTTAAAAGTCATTGTTGAAAGTGGTAATAATGTCTTTTGAGTATTTTTAAGTCAATTTTAAAGCTAATGAAAAAGAACAAAAAACTTGAAAAATATGTGATAAATTAGGAAGGCAGCATATTTCTGTATCCCTAAGCAAAATACAGAGTAGAGGAAAACAGAATTTAGCAGAGATTAAACATTGGTTTCTTCAAGACTCTTCTTGATGCATTATAATAATTGATCATGTGTCCCTAAAAGCAATAATATAATTATCTGGATGTGATCATTTAACAATGAAATGCAATTCTGAGACATGATATTCAAAGACAGCAATGATGGCCTCCAGGGACAGAGAATAAAAAACACACATAGGGCACTTGGGAAGGGATGCCACTCACAGAAAAGCCCAAGATATTTTAGATCTGACTGCCCTGATTAGCTCCTTATCCATTGGTATATGTTCCTCTGATGATAAAAAATAATGAAATGTTTGCATTTCTGTTAGGGATTTTCAGTTGAATGGATGACTGGTCAAATGATTGAATGCTCTCAGGATAGGATCCAAAATCCTCAAGTAACTGTCCTAGAAACCATGTGCAATTGAGTTCTCCAAGCCTTCCAGCCTGGTCTCAGCCACTCAGAACTATTTCACTCTCAGTTCTTCTCTGCTCCTGCCCTTGGTTTTGTCCAGAGTACCACACCCCTTTCACTTCAGGATCTTTCTTTACATTTTGTTGTATATTTACCCATCCCACCCCCACTTCCTCTCCTGTCGCTTCCACTGTTTTCACCTCTTCTTCTTCCTTCCTTACTAGTGTACAGGTTCCTTTGCTGAGAGCAGTCCCCAGCTAGCACAGGCCTGGTGTATCCCCAACCCTGGCCTGAGTGCTTGCTGGTAACAGACATTGCTCCAAGTGCTTTGCATGTGCTATCTCATTTCATCCTCACAACAGTACATGGAGGTGGCCCTACCCTACCTCCCTGTGGCAGCTGAGGAAACTGAGACATAAAGCAATCAAGAAACTGGCCCAGAGTCAAAGATCTGGGAAGGAGATGATGAATTCTAAAGCCCACCATTTCTCACCCACTAGGCTGCATCATAGCTTATCAAGTCTACATGCTGCTCCTAGCATCTTTCTCTTGGGAGCACTTATCCTTATCATTTTTTAATGAAGTTATTTGTTTTTAATCGACCTTTCTTACTACAATCTCTATGAAATCAAGACCTAAATCTCAACCACAGCACCTGCATCTTGCCTTGTGCCTAGACTACAACAGGTGGCCAATAAATATTTGAAGAGTAAATAAATAGGTGGTTGAATAAAGGAAGAAACAGATGGACAGATGAAAAACGTTGTTCACATACACTTTTGAAGCATGGTGCCAATGAATCTTGAATTTTAAGTTCTATTGACACACAAAAGAAAAGCTTATCCCTGGATCAGCATTGTCATCTGGTACCAAGAGAAGGTGCTTAGGAAGACATACTTTAAACAGATTAGGTCTTAGTGAACCTCAATTTCATTTTTAATAGGAAACACTGATGTTATAAGAAGCCCCAGATCTGACCAAAGTTTTAAGAGGTCAACAATGAAGTAGTGCAACATTCTGAGCAGAGACACAGTATGAGATATTTAGTATGTCTGAACTGAAAGAGACACCAAATCTACCTTCACACTACAGTAGACGAGGCAGTAATGATTCTTCAAGCATCTCTTCATCCGTTTTTGGCACAGGTGAAAGAATTCAGGACTGTTGCCCCATGGTCTGCCTATCTGGCATGTTCTGCTGCTGTCAGCCCAAGATAAGACACATTTTGGAGAAGCCACAAGACTGTGATACTGACCCCTTTCATCCAGTCTGTGAGAGACACAGTGACTGATCATAGCTTCAGAACGTCCTCTGCTTACTAACTGTCTGAACTCAAGCACGCATCAGCAGTCTTAAGGTCTAAAGCAATTATTTCACAGAAGTGCGAGGTCTGATCACAGGCTTCTGAGGAAAAGGTATTTTGCAAAGTTATTCCATTTGAAAATAGCAGGGCAATTTGTGTGAAGATCAAAGCCTGATTTCACAGAAAAGACCTCCCCAAGTATTTTTCTTTATTCTGACATCTGACACGTGTAGAAATACAACTGCAAACTGAAAGGTTGCATAGAAAAATACAGTACTTCATGGAACTTGAAAGTTTGAACCAGAAGACTACCTTTTCTGTAGCTACAACCTTGGGCAAGCCGCTTGATCTCCAGACCTCAGGGCTAATATCTGTTAAATGGAGCCAGTCCTTCAACAAACACCTGTACAGTAGTGTCTTCTGTGTGTGAAGTGTCATGCATGACGAGACAGCTGTGTTTGTCAAGTTCATACCACGTTCTGCGTGTTTTACTTCTATGTCCTCACCCAATCCACACAGCAATTTTTCTGGAACCCCAGGCTTGGCGAGTTCAGCAGCACAGGGAGTGGAAAAGCCAAGATTAAACACAGGTCCATTGATCCCCAAACCTTTGATCCGGCTACTCACACAGGCAGATGGATGAGAACAAGCTTGAAAACTCTGAAGGCCTGGATGTGAGGCCACTCCTGTTTTGATGAGCAGTTTTAACTGGATATATGCTCTCCTCCTAAATTTTTGTTTCTTTTCTTATCTTTTTCTCCTTTGTTAGCATGCAGTACAATCCTGTTCTTTACCTGCCAGAGTTCCTGAGAAAAGATGTGTAAAGGAGCCTGCCTGCCTGGTTAGCAGACACTTTAGATGCACTTATTTTCTGGAGAATAATTTATCTTTAAAGGCCTCAGATGTTCGCGGTGTTGGCAATTTCAAATGGTGTTGTCTCAGCTCCTGTTTCCTTCTCATGGCTGTGGATTGGAAGGGAGGGTTGGTTCATTCTCCCACCAGCAGGAGCCTACATCTGGTCAATATTCAGCAGCAGGAGATTCTCCTGGTTCCTACTTAACACTGCTTTGTGATGAACTCAAATTGGCTTGATGCTTCCAAAGTGCCGATACAAAAATTGAGGACATACAAGGTCCAGCATCATTGGACATAATAAAGTGATGAAAAGCATGAGTAAATGCACTGCTTAGTGAATGGAAATTGGATGAAGAGATGGAGACAGATGAAAAGATGGACCAACTGAATAGCCGGCTGTTTTCTCTCTCAGGGTGATATTTTCCTCTGTAGATGGATATGATTTGCTATGGTGTTGCATGATTGTATCGCCCCAAGTGACCACATAATGTACAGGCCAAGCTGTGTTACTTTTGAGAGTAGCAGGAGGTGTTACTCCTACTCCCAGATGACTGCTTTGCACAAACCAGGATATACGGTTTGGTTGGGCAGCTTGATATTGCCCAACTTGCTCATCTTGCTCACTGAGATCTGGCTTCAATATAGACTGCACTGTGGCCCGATGTATGATCGCAGCTCATTAATGGTGGCCTTCCTTCATCCTGGCCCTGCTCTGCTGCCATGAAACTTCATTTTCTCAAATGTGGACATCAAGAGTTGGATTCTGTAATCAAACAGACCTGGGGTTGAAATCCAGCCTTGCCAATTACTTGCTGTGGGATTTGGGCAAAGTGCTTGAACCTACCAGTCCTCCAACTCCTTGACTGTGGGGCGGAGACAGTGCTGGTGCCTGTGTTCTCTGGGCACTGCGTGGATGTGATGAAATGAAGCCCATGAAGTGGCCACTAAGTGTGGCGCAGAACGAGTGTTCGGTACTGTGCTGTGTGCCATGCGATTGCCTGTTCACTGCTAATGAAGCAACAGAGACATTACGACTCCTCATATTTTACTCCCACAGCCAATAAATACCTAGAATGACATCTTTCTGCCCTCCCAGTAAAATTAATTCCTTTTCCCACTTGACTTGTACTCTCACACTCCCAGTATAATGTTTATAGTTCATTATGGCCAATGTATGTATTTCCTCTTCTTCTTTCCTGTATCCCCAGGTGCCTGGCACTGCCTGGTACATGGTTTATGCCCAGTAAATATTCACTGAAGTCCATTGAGAGGGCGGTTTGTAAAAGCTTGCCCAAGCTCATTTCAACCTGGTTAAGTAAATGCATCACCTTGCGTCATATCTTTGAAACAGTCCCCATTTAATCTTTTGGGGGAGGGGATTTACACTTTAAATTGGAGGTTCCCACAATAGAGACCCACATACCAGCCATAAATGTGGAAAATAAAAAATGTAAGGATTTTTTAAAAATGAGTAACATAAACATAGTTCCAATAAACTTATTCCCCCAAGCAAAACTTTAAAAATTAATTGTTTTTTTCCAGAAAGTCAGTTGTTAAAGATTTACCAGCCCACTATGGCTCTTATCTTTTATTATTTCCTCATATTAAGAGCCCAGTGCTGGGTCTTGACTCTGTAGCAGTCTTCAAGGCAAGGTTTGTTGAATGTGAAATAAAAATGGGGATAGAAACAGGGTGAGGGTGGCGAGGGATGGAGGGACAGGGTGGAGGGTGGCACAACTGGGTAGAAGAGAAAGACCCAGGAGAGAAAGGCTGGCACATGTTTCTAGGGAGGCATGGACCCTGGCCACACAGAGATTAGGAAAGAATCCAGTCAGCAGAAGTTCCAGGTGCCAACAAGGATGAACTTTAACGTATACTTCACAAAAGAAGACAGGAATGGCCAATGATGAGGGTTAATATCATTACTCATCAGGAGAATTAAACCCACAGCAGGAAATACATTTCACTCCCAGTAAATGGCAAAAATCAAAAGACAGATGGGGCTGAGACTGGCACTCAGCAGTAGACACTTGCTTGATATTCTCAGGGCCCTGGGTTCAATGCTCAATACTGCGGGGGGAAGAACTGCCAAACATGAAAAGGGTATGAAGTAACTGGACTGCCAGACGTTGCTAAGGGTAGTGCAAAATGAAATAAACTTTTTGGAGAAATCTTTGTCAGTTTCTTATAACATCTATATTATCAACCATACTGTACATCTATAATATCAACTACATTTCTACTCTTAGAAATTTACGCAGATGAGAGAACATACATCCACAAAAGACTCTGTAAGAGTAGCAGCCTTACTCAAAATAGCTAAAAACTAAAAAAAAAATGGTTTTAAACATGCATGTCTGATTTATTTCACTTCAGAATATGGTCTCAAGGTGTGTCCATTTAGCTAGAAATGTCTTGAGCTTATCCTTCTTTATGGCTGAGTAGTAGTCTGTCATTTTTTTTAAAAAACCACATCTTTATTTACTGGTTGAGGCATTTGGGCTGTTTTCAAGATTTAGCTATTACAAACTGTACTGCTATAAACATGGGTGTGCATATATTGCTGTGGTATGATGTTTTTGATTCTTCAGGAAGATACCTAGAAAAGGAATAACTGATCAAATAGAACCTCTAGTTTTAGTTTTTTAAGGAATCTCCACACTGATTTCCACAGTGGTTGCACCAGTCTATTCTCCCACCAATGTGAGAAGGGTTCTTTTTCTCCACAGCCTCTCCAGCATTTGTTATTGGTTGATTTCTTGAAAACAGCCATTCTTTCTGGGGTGAGGTGGAGTCTCAGCATTGTTTTCATTTGCATCTCTCAAATGGCCAGTAATATTGAACATTTTTTCATATATTTATTTGTCATTTCTACTTCTTCAACTGAAAAGTGTCTGTTCATTTCAAATGCTCATTTTTGGATTGGGTCTTTAAATTGGGGGGGTCTGCTATTTTTGAGTTATAATTCTAGATATTAGTCCTTTCCCTGACAAACAGCTGACAATTTTTTTTCCCACACTGTGGGTTGTCTCTTCAGTCTGTTGGTGGTTTCTTTTGTTGTTCAACATCTTTCTAATAAGATAAGATCCCAGATGTTGATTCTTTGTGAGATCTCCTAAAAATTAAAATTTTAAAAACTCAAATATCCATCAATAAGAGTATGATATGAAGAAACAAATTGTATGTTCCTAAAATAGGATACTACTCACAATAAAATAAAAAGGAACAAATGATTGATACATGCAACAATATGGATAAATTTCCAAAAAACCATTACAGTAAGTGGGACACAGAACAATACATATTGAACAATTTCAGTTAGGTGACATTCAAAACTAGGCTAAACTTATCTTTGGTAACAGAAACCGAAACAGTGATTTTTTTTCTGATAGGAGATAAGAGTTAATTGGAAAAAGGCATAAGGGGACTTTCTGGGGAGATAGAAAAGTTGTACACACAATGGCCAAACATTTAAATGAGTGCTCCAGATCAGTACATTTTACCATATGTGAATACTATTTTGAAAATAATAAAATGATACATACCACTGTACCAACTGTCTATCGATGTTTAACCACTTACCCCAAACTTAGAGCTAAACGAGTGAACACTTATGATCTCAGGTGGTTTCTGAGGATCAGGTATGTAGGAAAGGGCATGGCTCAGGACAGGGCAGTCATCTCCCAGCCTGGATGGCAGTCTGCAGTCTCAAGACTTGATTGGATGGAGTAGAAGGATTTCCTTCCTGACTCTCACATGGCCGCTCAAAAGAGGCTTCGTCTTCTCACCACATGGGCTATGACTGATGCCCCAGGCTGAGTGACCCTAGAGAGGAACCACTCAAGTGGGGGAAATGGCAGACCATCCCTTCTGCAGTCTTTCCCGGTCACAGAGACCAGCCCAGTCCAAGACGGGAGAGAGCGGCCCACAGGTTTGATGCCAGGTGGCGAGGATGACTGAGTCATCTCCCAGCCTGGTGCCCCACAGACTGTCTTAAGGAGCACTTAAGCCCTGCCCAGCACACAGCAGCAGTTTAACCAATACCAGCGGTCATGATTTGGTGCCCAAGGCATATTGAGATAGAGGTCACAGCTCATGGGGGCATCTTGGGCATCAGAAGGAGTCACGGAAATCAATTTCAGCTGAGCAGAGCAGGAAAGGCAGGGAGAAATGCACATGTCAATAAACCTAAAGGGGAGAAAATTCAATTTTTCAAGAAAGCAGCAAAGCAGTAAGAATGTTGGCCTGACTCTTATTTTATTTTGCCCGACTGGACTGCTAATTTTTCACTCAATGCCTCTATCTCTGGCATTGTATTTTGAGTTTATATATTATTTGTTTTTATACTTTTTGTAATATCTCACACATAGTAGGCACTATAAATATTCATGAAATGAAATAGCAGATGGCAGCAATTTGAATTCTTTGTCCTCTATCCCAAAATACAGAAAACTCTATATTCTTTCTATGAACCACCCACATAGTCATCTCTAATTGGAAAGAACGTCTCCCCCTCCTTATGCGGGCTTTATTCCCCAGGGAGTCTTCGTGACCTTGACCATGATGGTGACAATTCATATTGAGATTACAAAGAGCGCAGAGGAATAGATTGCCTCTACAGACAAAGAATAACCCTGGCTCACAAAAAGAACACACCAGATAGCTGTGCACAACTCAGCAGCTGAATCAGTGATCTCATAGGCTTTTGGTTACCGAGTCAAGTTCTTATATTTTTCCTGTTCATGTCTGCGTAGTCATTGTGTTTGCCACTCTCCCTAAGGCCCACTTTCATCATTGCTCCTTATAATTTTAATTAATAATCCCCAACCTTTTCTTCCCTAGAAAGGAGTTTTTATCTGCAGAATGTTCTATTAAACCCTTGCAGTTTGGGTCATGTGATGTTCTATCTTCTCCAACCACTTTCTGAATCCCATATACTTCTGTGAGGTACAGGGGCAGCCATGGCCAGACATTGTATGGCCCAACTTCAAGAGTGTCAAGGATTTTCTAGGTTAGAAGGAAGACTCATAATGACCTCACTCTTCGAAGCTCAAGTACGCTAATCATACCAGGAGAGTCCCAACAACAGAACAAAATTCAGTGTGTGTTGGCTTAACCTGCCACATCACTGAGGTCCTTGTCCTGGAACTGAAACCCAGCTCATTTTGTGAGTCAACTTTGACCTAGGTCTGAAGGAAGTAGAGGACTTGATCCTTACCCATGGAAGGGCTCCCGAGTTAATTAGTCCTGCCTGCTCATCCGCAGAACCTGAGGCAAAGCCTTTCCCCATAGCCTGCAAGGCATTTTATAGACACCATTTAATGGGTGAATATGAGGGTGAGACTTTGTGCTTCTGCTTCCCCACTTAGTTCTTTACTTGGATCCAGCGGAGTATGTAAGAGGCAATGTGAAAGGCAACAGTCAATCAGAATAGCCCCATATCTGAAGTCAAGCTCACTTGTATTCTTCCTCACATTATTATATTTTATCACCTATTTAGAATATTTCCATGAGCTTTTCTCTCATTTGGGAGATAGGAGAAACTATTTCTCTCCTTGCAAGTTTGTGTCCCACATTTGTAGTACCAGTTTGTTTCAGTAATTAAATGAGCAGGGTGGGAAGACCCTAGCCTGCAGTAGGTGCCCGATAGTGTTATTTCTGTCTTCTATTAGGCTGGGGTTTTCCCTTCAGGCCCAACAAGCTCATTTCAAATATTGCTCCCCAGATTCTGTTCCCTGGTACAATGTAACAGTGGCCCAAATCAAAGATTTTCAAAATCATAGGCTACTTTGCTCCTCTGGATTTACACTGGATAGGTCGCTGATTCCATTAGAGAACAATATGGTAGCTGACCTGGTTTTCCATGCCATAGCTCTCCATGGACCCAGACCTGCCCTCCTCTCTGCAACACACAGTCAAGCAGGGGGGAGTAATGCTCACGTGCACAGGCTTTGGTCTTGGAAACCTGAGTTTAAATCCCACTGCCATTTCTTCCCCACAGTGTGACC